ACCTGAAGAATGGCAGAAGCTATCGGTGAAAGATAGAGCTATAGCCAAGAAGGCCGGGAAACATGTAGACAGGGTCGTGGATAGATTGTCGAAGAAAGCGAAAGGACTTGGGAGCAGTACGGATAAGAAGGAGGACGAGGAGCCTGATGAACTCTTGAAGGACCTGGAAGACGCCAAGAAGGGTGATGAAGGAGATAGTGAAAAGAAGTCTAAGAAAGACAAGAAGGATAAGAAAACCAAGAAGGATAAGAAATCCAAGAAAGAAAAGAAGTCTAAGGGTAAGGATGAGAAGGGTGAAGGTGGGCCAAGCTTGGCTATGCCTACTACCTTTATGGAGTGGGACACTGATGATGATGATGATGACCCATGGTCACCTAAATCCTTTACATCCGAGTCCACGTGTGTCCCCAGTGATGAAGAATTCCTCACCGATTGGGACGAGAGTGCCATGTGGGAGGACAACGATGACAATCTTGCTATGGCGGCTTGGAAGACGGAGAACGTCTACAATCCACTGAACGGTCAGATATGTTGTTGCATCACTGGTGATCCCATTGACAACGATGTAGTTGATGAACCATTTCCGACGATGCCATGTGTAGTGCGTGATACGCAACATCGCCCAAAACTCATGGGCAATAGGTTGTTCAACGCTGTGGTATCAAGACCTGTGAGCCGTGCTGAGATCTTATCCAATAAGAAGGCAATGCAATCTATGTTGGACGAGTGGGGCGGACTCTGGGATGAGGAAACATTCGACGGGTCGTGGCTGAGAGAATATGATGAGATAGTGGCAACCTCCAAGAAGAAAGGGGAAGAAGTTCACTTAGCAAGAGTACATGGAATATGTGTGGAAAAGAACTACCAACTGCCTGACGATGACCCGAAGAGGAAGTTCAAAGGGCGAGGGGTTCTACTCGGAGATCAGGTGAAGAACCAGAACTTCGAGGCAGCATTGTTCCAAGACCTTGGAAACTCTCCAGCTACATTCGAAGCTGCTCGATGGGCCGATTTCTACGGTTGCCTGGAAGGTAATGATGTGCAGGTGGCAGACGCCATTCGAGCATATATCCAAGCATTATTGGGCGGTGTACCGTGTTGGGCTGAACTCCCGTGGGAAGCGTGGCCCAAGCACTTGCAAGAGGAGATCACCAGAAGGGGTCTCAAACGTCCTATGTGTCGTGTGAACAAAGCATTATACGGACATCCAGACTCTGGAACGATGTGGGAGCAACATTGCGACGAATCTGTACGTGCATTGGAGTTCAAACCCGTCGGACCAGAATGGCCGTCGATGTATTACCACGAAAAGCTAGACTTGCTGTTAGTGATATATGTGGACGACTTGAAGTTGGCAGGCCCCAAGGAGAACTTGAAGAAAGGTTGGGACCTACTCCGATCCAAGCTGCGCATTGAACCGGAAACCGAGGTCGGATTGTATTTAGGATGTGTTTTGTCGAAAGGCGAAGATAAATTGGCCGATGGTTCCAAAGTCACTACAATGACATATGATATGAGCGCTCTGCTCAAAATGAGCGTGGTCAAATACCTCGATATAGTAGGTAAGGACACAGTATTGAAGAAAGTTGCAACGCCAATGTTACCGGATGTCACAAAGGATCATCCATCGAGAGCACCATGCAGTACCCAAAAGGGACTTGCTGTCACATGCACATGGTGTGGTACTTGTTTCTCGCCTGACCAGGCAGCTTCCAAGGCCAGGTCAACAGACGATGACGTCAAGTCTGATGCGAAGGAGCAACCTCGTGGTACCCTAGCGCCTCATGCTGCTAGTCTCCTAATGAAACTGCTGTACGCTGCTAGGATAGCGCGTTTCGACCTGTTAAGGGCCATCAATGTGCTGGCTCGTAATGTGACAAAATGGACAGTTGCCGATGATGCCAAATTGCACCACCTGATGTGTTACGTGCATCATTCCGCCGATCAGAAAATGGTAAGTTGGGTCGGTGATTCCAAAGCAGACCTGTCGTTAGCCCTATTTGCAGATGCGGACTACGCAGGCTGTGGTCAATCGTTGAAGTCGACTTCCGGTGCACACATGCATGTCCAAGGCAAGCGAACTCGTTTCCCGTTGGCAGGAGGTAGCAAACGTCAAGGGTGCGTTAGCCACTCCACCCCGGAGGCTGAGATTGTCGCGGCGGATTACGCATTGAGGACACTTGGGATCCCGAGCATCAGTGCATGGGAGACTTTGATGAGGACGCCACCAAGAATAGTCTTTTATGACGATAATCAAGCGATGATTAATGTTATGAGGAGTGGGAGGAACCCCACGATGCGTCACATGGAGCGAACTCATGGTATTTCCATCACTTGGTTGTATGAGATGTTCAAGCGTGACTATCTGTTGCTCGTATATGAGGTTACTGCTCGTATGGCTGCCGATATCCACACTAAAGGGTTCGATGATGCCAGCTCATGGAAACATGCGTGCATGCTGATCAATATACTGAGCGACGATGGTCTGCGCAGCCAAGCATTGCTCGACTTGATGAAGCCAACTCATGATGGGTTGTCTTACGCCAAGCAGCTCCAGAAAGATCGTTACAGTAAGGTGCCAACATATCCTTACACCACCATTCCGGTTGTCCCGCCACACCTGTATCAGCCGGGACTTTCGAGCAAAGAGGGACTGCAAGAGATCCCTGGATGCGACCCCTACGTTATGGTTCGTACTCCCAAGCTGTACAGGCTGCGTCCACCACGGGCTCCCCCTGATATGGCATACCTTCGCAGCACTTGGATCTTGCAGGACGCGCAATGGCAACAGATCGAGGATAAGGTTGACCCTAACTTAGAACCCGTTCGGTTTGACCGCTGGGTCGAACGTGCGTTCTTTCAGTTTCATCCTTTGTCTTCTCCGTTACCCGAAGCGTCCGCTCCTGCGTCTGGTCATTTCAACGCTGCGATCCTTCCACGTCTTTTGTTTAGCTTGCGTCCGCTTGTCCAATGTCGCGAGTTGCAACAGACTCTCCGTGATTCGTCCTTGTACTTGTCGATTCATCACTGCTCGACCTCTGCCTTACATGTGCTCAACGCCCTGACACGCCTTGTGCATGGGGGGAATGGGGGGTCTGGGGGGTCTTCGATGATTTTCGACAATTTTGTTTCGGATCCTGAAGAGCAAGAGCACTCAGTTCACGATCATTGGGAGGTAGACGAAGAAGCTAAAACGCTAACAAGAATACACTCGTCTCCTAGGAGAAAGGCGTTCTGCCCGGGTGACGCACCATCTTGTCCAGTTGACATGTCACGGATCAAAGACGATAGGATGACTTACCGTCAAGGAAGTCAGTTCGAGTCATCAGATTTTGAGGACTGTGTCAAGGACTATTGGCGACACTCAGGTAGAGGTACGCATACCAAAACGCACCTCCGATGGATAGGCAAGACTGTGTTCACCCTTAGGGGAAACGACGCTGAATCGGAAAACGAGGAAGCTCAATCGGCTGCAATAGCGTTATGTAGCACCCCAAAGCGTATGAAAACAATCCCACTGAAGGATATCATTGTCCCAACGTTCGTCTCCGTTAGCAAAGCCAAGAGCGAGGAGAGTAAAGAGCACAGAATAGTTGATGTCAACTTGAGACGACATGATGGGGAGATCGCATATCGGTACCAGTTCGTGTTGTGCGAAGAAGATGACAACCTAGCCGCCCGCGACGAGCAGATGGTAATTGATCTGTACGATATAGGTAAAGAACCCGCACTCATCCTACTGTGTTCAGAGGAATGCAATCACTTCACCCATTTAGCGGCGAAGCACGATTGCACCATCGTCACTGTATCTCAGAGCGATGACCTCACTTCACCATACGGGATTGCACGTGCGCTTGCAGCAGTACGCTCGGAGAAGGATGCAGTAATGTTTGCAGGACCCTGTACAGGCGGATCAGCATGGTCGAGATACAACGCTAAAGTCAGCGATGCGATAGCTAAATCTATAGAGCTTAAGCGAGCGCTATACTGGGACCTTTGGGAACGTTTTGAAACGGTTATGACTCGCGTTTTGAGGATCGGGGCCGCCGCACTGTTCGAACTACCAAGATACTGTGCCTACTGGAAAGATCAAAGGGTTCAATGTTTGTTGAGCGGCACTGATTGCGACTGTCATGTGTTTGATGGATGTATGTACGGGTTAGGTGCTGAGTTCAACGATTCGCATTCCGACAAGAAACTCATCAAGAAACCTTGGAAGATTGTATCATGGAATCTTGAGTTTGGCAACCAGCTCAGCAGAACATGTGACAAGAGCCATAGCCATAGAGATTGTGCAGGTAAGTACACTAAGACTACTCAATTATATAATAAGAAGATAGTCGGCATCATCCTGAAGACCGTGACCAAGAGAATCGCTGAATTCCAGAAGTCTGAGAAGATGATGCATGCCGTTCCGTGCCTTATGATTCGAGCCTTGGGTAGTTCCTTCAACGAACGATCAGTGTGTGATGCAACATCAAACGAGACTGTATACACATGTGATGAGCATGGGACACAAATATCACACGCACGACGGATCGAACCACATGGCATTCATGATTTTCAGGCATGTTGTGTTTGTTTGTGTGACCACAGCACTGCTTCACCCGTACGCTTCAGCGACGTGGCTATGGCTTCTGTTGGTGGTGTCATGAACTATAACAGCAACACGAGCGGCTACCCGACTTTCATCAAGATCCTCGATGGCCTGGTTGAGATGAAGGAGAGAGGGCAGATCACCCTACCTCCAAGGATGTCAAGGAGTACGCACGGGTTGGATGTGGTTGAGGCATGGATTGCCGTCGGCATTCCTCCGCTCGTCCCGTTATCCATCAACTATGCAATGTCCAGGACAAAATCCGATGACACCAAATTCTTGACCGCTTCACTGAAGAAGTTAGTAGGCTACATGAACGAGGAAGAGAAGAAAGAGAAAACTGGCGACTTGGCAAGACGCTATAAGCTATCCATGGCCACCATTAAGGGGCGCTTCGGGAACGATGCGAGTGGGGTTTTCAGCAACCTTTCCCGCTACCTCGTGGAGCCTGAGGAGATTGGGGCGATCGATGACTTATGGGACGACGTCCGCGACTTCATCAACAGCGGCAGACTCAATGACACTATGGTTGCCTACCAGCAATGGAGGAACCTGTCCGGGTCGGCCAATGAGAGCATGAACATGCGTGAAGCCGCGGATCCGTCGGATCACGTCTATGCTACCCGCCTCGAGAGTTACTACACGATCTTCAGCTCGATCTTCTATCACACCTCTGACAAACTCACCAGTCGAAACGCGAAGGAGAAGGTGCAAGAGCTGATAGAGACGGTGAACAGAGAAGTCCGCAACATGGCGCTGGCAATAAGGGTCCACAACTCGGACAGCGCGTTGGACAAGATCCACGTGATCGATGTGCTCGAGGACCTGATTGCCAGGAAGAGAGGGTTGCCAAAATACAGGTCGGCGGCTCAGAACCATATGAAGACCTTTCTAGGCTCCATGAGTGTAATGGTACAATACCTTGACAACTGCAAGCCTCCGGTAGCCCTGATAATACCAGAAGAGCTCAGATTCATGAGGGAAAAAGTCATGCCGATGATCAATGAGTGGATCCCGGTTGAACCCACAATGTTTCGAGTTCAGTACAACGCAGCTGCGGCGGAGAGCGGAAGGCAAAATGAGTACAACCGGCGGAGCAGCGCCTTCAAATCCTACACCGAATACATCGAGGAGATGAAGAAGAAAATCGAGGACAAAGTTATCCCCTCGTTACCATTTTGGGACATGGTGGAAAGTGAAGGTCCTGAGCCCCCTGACGTTGCTCATAGGCCAAAGTGGTGCCCGCCGCTTCAGATCTACGGTGACTTTGCTAGGCCGAAGGCCAAACCAATGCCTCGCGCGCCAAGACCTCCTCCACCGTCGTCGTCATTTGAACAGCAGAACTTTTCGGAGCGTCCTTCCGATAGTTCAACTGGACATGGGCCGGCGTCCTCCAAGCGGTGGGGAAGGACAGGTGGATCAGAATCCACCGGGGCGGCGTCAAGGGACATCTCAGCCACTACATGGTTTAGAATGCCGTTACCGATGGGGTCATCCAAATACTACGTATTTGGGAAGGACTATTTTTCGCGAGACATGAAGGTCTACGCAATGGTCAGCACCAATCAGGTGCCATCCGGGCACATCGTAGAAGGTCCCTGTACCATTAACGGACAGATGACATGGTTGCAGTACTTACGAAGGTTGACGTCGTATTTGATGTTCTGGCATGGGGAGTACCAAGAGTCGGTGATCAATCGGAACTACTACAAAGAAGACGCCCATTGGTTCGCTCAATATACCAACATCTACGACTCAACACAAGTGTCACTTGCTGGAGGGCTACCATCTCCGAGAACGCTATACAACCTTTGTTACCCAATGGAAGCCAAGGTGACTGATGAAGCGGAATTGGAGCTGAGGATGCGTGAGACATTGAAGGGCTTCATCCCAAGTGTCACGTGTCAGCCAGCAACTCGCACCATCGACGGTGAGAGTGTGCACTGTGAGTTCATCGGCGCCATGAAGACCAGTAAGGTGATTTTGATGTCTGACTTCGAGTACATCACCAAATCGAATTCCGGAAAACAGACAGTGTTCGCCCAGAGCTTATTGTCACTTGGATGGGATAAGGTCACCAACATGTCTTGTACGCCTGAGTACAAGAAAGGAGTGATGACGGATCCATATGGTTTCATCAACTTCGTTCGTGATCGAATCGATGATGTCAAGCGCCATGAACCCACATCCATCCATGTGTGGTTGTCGTTGAGCAATCTAGTGACTGCGGGCGAGAAGGGGACATACAAGACTGTGATTGTTCCCACGGACTTCGTTCCAAGACTCAGGGATGTGATCGTCAAGCTTGACGCATGCTGCCAACTACCTACCTTCGTGAGGATTTGCGCAGACGTGGAATTTCACCATGCCGTCGGTTCGTTCGGTAAGATCGCCAACATGATCAAGGACGAGCTATCGCTGAATGGCATGATGTCCACAACGTCGGACAGATTCTGGCGGGCCATTTCGGTCGCCGGAAGCGGTCACCCCTACTCTATGAAGTCTGGAACCTCTTTGGTCCACGCTGTCATGGAAAAGTACTTGTTCAGAGAAAAGATGCTCGCTTCTTGCTTTATGGCACCGGATCCCTTGACCGAAGCGAATAGCCTCCATGATCCCAACTTGGAACACGTGTTGCAGGACAAAGAGAGGTTGTATCAGTACTTGTTCGGAGATTCCGTAAGAGGAAGCCATGCATATCGGTCCACTGCGGAGCCTTCAGGTGAGAATGAGTCTGAGAGGAGGAAGAGGGAGAAGGTAAGGAGAGAGAACAAGATGCCATGGATGGATGAGTACTGGGGAGTCCTTCAGCCAGAACCAATATACTCAAGGACTCAAAGGTGGTACGTCATTGATGACTTTAAGGAAGGTGAGGAAATTTGCTGCGATTACTGTCTGGTCTGCCATCCCATAGACTCCGATTTGAAAGACGATTGCTATGCAGAATGCATCAACGGAGCAGCGAATAGATGCCGTGGGATGTCCGCAGAAGACTACGTCCAGAAGCGATTTCATGCATGTGCTCGATTGCTTTACAACTTCGGCATGGGGCAAACGGTATCTTCTCCCACCGTCGTGATCTCCGAGATGAACCCGCACGATGACTTGATGAGGTTCTTACACGAGGCGATGATCATCTTTAATGAGAATCCAGGTTTCCAGAAGGAGATTTCGTTCTTCGGGGGGATCAGGTTTTCATCAACAATGACGGAGAACTTCTTCAAAACGAGGAGAGGACCCAGCATCCATGTGGAAAAGCAGATAGTCGGCAGCGCCAAGTACTACCAGGGATCCTATGACCTTGGCAACGTATGCTACACCAAATACCTCAAGACCATACTGGAGCCCGATGTATTCCGCACTATATTCGGAGATGATCCCACGGAGGAACGGGTAGGTGACATGGTGGAAGCGCTGCTGGGCATGTTCGAAATTGCTCAACTCTTCAGGCACATGTTCAGGGGATGGGGTGACATCGAAGCTTTGAGGACGGGATTAGAAGAATCCATCAAACGCGTCACTGCATCGCTGTACGACAGGACAACGTATGAGAACCGAAAGCGATCGACGATTAGAACCTTGGACCCGCACTCTGATGAGGCGGCAAACGTGGCACTGATTCTCGTTCGCATGAGGACCATGCCGCTTCCTGAATTCGACATCGACCACTTCTTCGAAATTGGGAAGGAACCAGAACAGGGAACAGAAGCCACTGACCAGCCCGAGGCCGAAGGTGTCGATATGGAGACTGAATGTGGACAGGAGAAGGAGGAGCAAGATGTTGACATGTCCGACCCGAAGACATCAATACTGCAAGCCATCGACGAATTTGAGAAGAAGATCGGGCAGGCAGAATTCTGCATCCACTGCATGGAGTCGGGACACACAACTCTCAATTGCGAGAAGACCCTTTCATCTTCACCTTCAGTCACCTCGGTGTTGAGTGATTGGAAGAAGAGAGTGAAGGGAGAGGTTGCACCCGACGATGTACCATCTGGACATCCAACCGAGGAGCCTAAGAAGAAGAAGCAGAGAGCATCGCCCACTCCAGATAGGAAGGTCGACAGCGAGTTCAGGCGAAAAGAAATGTTAAAAGCAAGAGTCGTGACAATGTTCGACCATGACGGATTCACATTGATCGAAAGTGCTGATGGAGTCGAAGGAGGACCACATTCCTACAATGGGCGGAAGCTTGCGGAAGCAGGCCCTAAGGATATGAGAGTGGTGTACGAATTTGTAGAGAAGGCATTTGTGCACTCCAGTTCCCTCACACCAAAGGCATGTCATCACTTCTATCCCCTACCAACACGGAGGGAGAAGGGATACAAGCCGATCGACCCCATGACGATGGTCGGGAAAGTTGAACTAGTACCGATCAACGGAGTCACTTTCGCTGCAAAGGACTCCGACTACGGCAACCACAAGTATCCGACTCCAGACTGTCGAGTACCTGAATACAGCCAAGCGAGCCAGGCCCTGAGTCGTCGATTGGGAGCGAAGTTGAGACATCGAATTGGACGCCAGTTCAGGACAGGAGGAAGACTCGCACCAATCAAATGCGATGAAGGCGCATGGGTGTCATGGGAAGACCTGTTAGGTGATAATGCAGTTTGGGAAGACGGTTATCACTATGGCAACATAGATATCGTGACCAAGAAGGCGCGTTTGGAGAAGTACTTCGACCAGAACTATGAGTGTTTCCGCATAACCAAGAGGGTCAGATTCCAAATGTTGGCGGTCCGCGTTCACCCTGATGAACTCAATGAGCCTGATGACCCGATGGAGAAGGAATGGATTAACGAACTCAAGGACATGGGAATCTCTAAAGGAAGACTCCACCATAGCGATGGATGGTGCTTTCCCGTGGCCGTAAGAGCAACCTCGGCACACTCAACGGACGGCGGAGGTTATGACGTTACCATTAACATCGACCACATTGGATCGAGAATGACCAACGACATGGCCCTATCTATGGTGACTGCATTTCACGCTACCAATCTCGGAGCGCTGACTTCAATCATGCGACGAGGGCTAGTGCCGGGAGGTCTCGGTTCATCAGGAAGGGATTCTATCCACTTCACATGTTTTCCGCCATGGGCCTGGGAGCAGGGCTACAAGGGAAAACCTTGGCTGGGTCGTAAGGTCGCATTGAGTGATCGCCCAGTGGTTCTCTACATTCCGGTGTGGAAGCTACAGGAGTACGGACTTCTCATCTCAGCGACTGGATCTCTATTGGTTGAGAACGTCGTTCCCTTCGATGAGGTTAAAGGGGCACGGTTGCAATGCGACAATGCGGAACCCGGACAGCCTGAGGAGATCGAATGGATCCGGTTACTCAATGGGGAACCCGACCCTGGAAGCTACCTTGTTCTGGAGTCCAAATACGGAAACCCGATCATGATTCCACGCTTTCAAAAGCTTGAGAGTTTAGCGGTTGAGGTTCAGGACGATACCTACTCCGAGGACGACGCCAAAATCTCAAAGCTGTTGGGTATGATCGAGGAGAGTGGTGTTTACCCAGAATATGATAGCACCGAGTGGCAGGAAATCTTTGAGGAGATCGTGTACCGCCGAGCAATGAAAGACTATGACTCAAGACCGTGTCCTAACTGTCTTGGCGAAGTCGATGTGCGATTGACGATATGTCCGCACTGCGTAGCGGTTTTGATCGCGAATGGGAAGCTCACGCATGTAGTACCCAAGGAGACAAGGGACCGCAATCAACGGTCACCTCCGAAAGATGTCCCAGCCAGTTCTTCCGGTGAAACAATTTCTGCTGCAGGTGCAAACATCGATGAAGTCATCAAGAACGCACGCAAGACAGCCGAAGAGGTCATTGAGATCGAGGAATCCGAAGGAGAGGAAGAGGAGGAAGTTCCTATCATTTTGAAGGAACGACCGGACGAAGCTGAAGGCGAACCCGAATATCGGGAGGTCCCTCAAGATGGATACGGGAATGAACTTCCGCAGCCTTTCCCCTTCGCAATTGACGAATTGCCGCAAGAAGCTGCGATCCCCATCGACCACAACTTTGCCGTCACACAGCAATTTGATCTGAGGTTGATGAAGTTGATCAAGAGCTTGGCCAACGCAACGTTCGACATCAACTGCTTTGAGAGTCGTGAAGATGTACTGCGAATGTTCGACGATGGACAGCGGCATGACACTCCGCACAATAGATGGCCGATAGTACCGAATGATCCGGATACTGGGTTTCCAAGACGTCTCCAGAGGGCCGAGGTCGTAGGCATGAGCAGATGGACCGACGACGTGTATGCAGCAGAAGCGTGGCAGATCTATGAATTCCACGCCCACGTTGTTCATCCGATGATGATCACTGCAATCCGCTGCGGGCTTAGCCACAAGTACCTCAAAGAGGTCGGCAGCACTCAGCGTAACATGAGTGATCCAAAGGCTCGCAAGTCTGAGACCCAGGATGAGATCATCGAGAAACTGGCATTCATCTCAAATTTCATCAGACGCTTGATCAAGAAGACCTTCGGAGCGAGCCGATATAGTTACTACCAGAAACCAGATGACGAAAGTGCCGCTCCATACAAATTCATCGACATTAGTCCCGCCATCAAATCGGAGAGGAAGAATGTCACGAAGGAGATCCTCGTTGCATGCCGCTACTATGGCATAGAGGTATCCGCTATCCAAGCACAGAAATTGAAGTCCTTCGAGGAGCAGATCCGAGCGGGAAATCCAAGGAACGTTGAGCTCATCAAGGACTACATTGGCTTTGTCGGCGCTGACTACATGCGACAACTCACGAATGGTTGAGCATTGGGGTCATACCGACATGCCACTTCTGGTACTTCAAGTACTGAGGGATCTTGGGTAATTCATGATGACCGTTTTGGCATCATGGGAGTGAGATAGGATTGTGTTTCACACCGTTGGTAATCGCATGATACCATAGGTAGGTGCACGTTTTCCGCTTGTAGCTCCATTGCCTGTTTGATCCAACTTTCAAGCGAATGCAAGATCTTTTGCTAATTCAATTCAATAGGACATACTGGTTGACCTCCAATACACTTTTGAGAACGTGATCCGTTCTCCGGTTTTTACATCCACTCATCTCCCTTCCCCGTCGAAGTACGGATGTGGGGGGTGTCAATAGGGATGGGGTCCCAGTATAGTCGCTATACAGGTACATGCCATATACTTTTGGCTCAAGTGCCCAACCAGGTAAAAAGGAGCTTTAGCGCGCGAGCTTCATGTTAACCTAAGAGCTAGAACGGGGCCAGGGCACACCTTTCCATCCGTTCGCATTTTATGTATGGGTCAATGATATGCGTGTGATTGCGTGTGTATAATATACTACAATATTATATATAATATATAATAGCCTGACTGACCTCTATTTTGATAGGACAAGACCATATGTTGGATAGTGGATCCTCCCAAACAGGGGTCACTCAGGCTCCAAACTGAGTTCCGCCGCCATGTGCCGAGGCGGAGCGACGGTCCATCCGTCACCGCCTCTCAGGGCAAAGGGAGGGGGGGATCCGTGGCCAGGGCAGTCCAGGAAAGTCAGCCGAACGAAGGTGGGGGACCATTTAGGGTGCTTTTTT